TATGGTAAGGGGCGTAACATTTCCGTCACACGCTTGAGGTATTCGGCCAATCACAACGCACTGGATAGCTGGCCAATCAGAGCACACCTCGCTTTTCAGACCAATGAGCTTTGAAAAAATCGACTAGGCGGGGCATAGAGGAGAAACAATAATGTACAGTATGTGGAAAATAATGTGGTTTTTTTTTTACTTTAAACCGCATAAACACATTTCATTACACCAAATACACAAAATAATGTTCTTTTTAGCAACATCATATGACCCCTTTAAATAATTGTTCTATATTGGATATTTTAATAATTTCTTATTTAATAAAACAATTATTTAAAAAATATATCAGAATTTGTTGAAGCCTGCAGTATATGTCAGTGTAAATTGGAATAATAATAATTTGAATAATAGTTAAAATAATAATAATCTATTAAAACAGTTTCCTTTAGAATTTTCAATTAAAATTCTTGAAATTTCACTGAATCTCTACTGCAGACTGTACGGTCTGGTCCGAAATATCATAACCCACATCCATGAATGTAGGTTTTATTGGACTTTTATGGAATTTCTGATAAATGTCATCATTAGCGGCCTCATAAATTCTTCACCGTTCTTTTACTGAGCAGGAGGTGTGAAGGCTATTTATGGAATTCAGCATCTTAAAATCCTACTCATGTGAACCCTGACTCTTTGATGACAATATAATTGATTTATTCAGGGCTTATTTTTTAACTTAATTATGGTAATATTCAAATGATAATGGTTCACTTGCTAAATTTAGCATGAAAGCATCAGCCTAGCTGAAATGTATGAGGTTTGACAGTTCTTATGCCCCATTTTCTATACTGAGTTGCCTACTGGCTTCTTTCCTCCAAAGACCTGCACATCCCTCTTGCATGTTTTACTTTAATGAAGGCATGGATGTATCGTTCCAGCATTTGAAGGTGGTCGATGTTGTGATATATTACATTGGCCACTAGGTCTGTTACTACACACATTCTTCATGAATCGTGCACCCTTTTATCCTCAACAGACGGTTGATAGGTCAAGGTCAACGGCCGATCATGTACAATACCATTTAGAGCATCAGCCACATTATAGTGAGTCTATATTTATTTCACCTAGCTGTGGAAGCACGTTAGGCGGTCACACCAGGGGGTTGCAATTCCCCTGTAAAAGTCACACTGACCAGATTAATGCAGCACCATCAAGACCCCCATTAATCACCTCCGAGCCACAGCTCTACCTCCACCTGTTAGCCGTGCCACCCCCTACATAGAGAAACCTGCATGATGGATCTTAATGACCCTTACTGGTGTTGTGTAAAGGATGAGTTTTACAGCCACTTTTTATGGTAATCTCTTTTATTATAGTTTTCGTTTCATTAGCATATTGGGTTATTTATGTATAAGGGGAACCCGTAGTAGTCTGCCAGGTATCTGGGTCCTTTTCACACAGTGCAGTTTGCTAATGAGGATTTTTGCTGTGATGGAGGCTCAACTGTTTGACAGGGTCTAAGAACCTCTGATTCGTGAGGAGCATTAAGCTCCATGCAGACCGTATTGCAGGCGTGATCTTCTTTATTAACATGAAATTAAACATCACGGCTATTTATTCCTTCTGAATAGGAACCCCAAAGTCACCATATAATTACAGTAAAACCAACCCTTTTTAATAGCTCTTCAATAGCTCTTACCTAAAAATGAAAATCTTTTACTCATCCTTGAGTTGTTTCAAACCTGTATGGCTTTTGTTCTTCCGTGGAGCACAAAATGAAGTCAGTTTGAGCATAGCTTGATTAATCATAACTTAAACACTTAATAAAACACCCAAAAGTGTCAGCAAAAATGTGTTATAATGATTTTTGGTAGAAAAAAAGGTATTTAAGCATGTTTTAACAGTAAAATCTTAGTAAAATCAATTTTAAAAATGATTTCTAGTGTGCCATCCAGCACTTTGAATTCCAGTCCAGTTGGTGGCGGAAGTGCTTCTTCTGGTGATCAGTGCTCCAATATAAAAAATATGGCTTGTAAAATGGGTTGTTAAAGATGCTTTAAGTTGACTTTAAAATTCACCATTAAAAAGAGTTATTTTTAAGAATTATGTGTTTGGTTTTCCAAAAAAAAAAAAAAAAGAAGGTGATTTTTGGTAGAAAAAAAGGTATTTAAGCATGTTTTAACAGTAAAATCTTAGTAAAATCAATTTTAAAAATGATTTCTAGTGTGCCATCCAGCACTTTGAATTCCAGTCCAGTTGGTGGCGGAAGTGCTTCTTCTGGTGATCAGTGCTCCAATATAAAAAATATGGCTTGTAAAATGGGTTGTTAAAGATGCTTTAAGTTGACTTTAAAATTCACCATTAAAAAGAGTTGTTTTTAAGAATTATGTGTTTGGTTTTCCAAAAAAAAAAAAAAAAAGAAGGTGCTTGGAACAATTTGACGTATTAAGTTATATACAACTTCTCCTACGTAACCTATCTGGGTGTTTTTCTTCTGCCGTGCAACTCTTTAACTTTAAGAAAATCCAAATCCGTATTTATCTCAACCCTCTACTTCAAATGTAATCAAGGAAACGTTTTCTCATTCTGCATCAAGGAGACACATCATCTGAGGTCACCTCTCCGTGATTCAATCTCTTGCAACCTACCCTTGATCTTTTTTTACATGGGAAATGGCATATTAATTAGATGCCAGGGAAATGGGATTTTAATGCCGTCATAAAAGAGAAAACAAATAAGCCAGGGTGAAATCGGCAGTATTTATTCAGTCACTGTGCAGCACTGTGTCTGTTGATAGGGGAAAGGAAATTACACTTGGGAGGGAACCAGACTTGGGGATATGCATCAGTAAAGCTCGTTACTGTGATTGTTTGCTGTTAATCAGTTTAGGGGTCACTTTTGGAGGCTGAAATGTTTCTTTCACTGGCTGTTGAAGAAAGACATTGTGGTAATTCTGTAAGGAAGACAACCAGTGAGGGGAAAAGCCGTGGGGAATCATTTGTCACCTTTGCTTTAGTGGCCAAACACTTGCTGTGTCCTTGGAAAAAGGGGAAATGTGATTTCTCCTGGGACTCTTGTGGTGTTCCTTGTCTACAGTCTGATCCCAAAAGGATGTCAAGCCCCACTGCAACTCGTATGACCCAAAACGCTACTTTTTTGTCTTCTACATCCTTCTAATTGGCTAAAGTCAAAGTTTCATCTGGTCTGAAAGTCATATCAGAAACGAGGTGCTTTAAAGGGGTCATATGATGCTGCTAAAAAGAACAGTATTTGGTGGTTCGCTTTTACAACGAAGCACACAGCGTCTTTACGACATTGTGGTGGAAACAACAAAACTACAGCGAGAATAAAAGTTACGCCTTCTTTCTTTGCGTGAACGTGTTTATGCGGTTTAAGGTTCAAAAAACACATTCTTTTCCACATACTGTACATTATTGTTTCTCCTCTATGCCCCGCCTTTCTGAAACGCGTCGATTTTTACAAAGCTCATCGGTCTGAAAAAGCGAGGTGTGTTGTGATTGGCCGAATACCTCAAGCGTGTGACGGAAATGTTACGGCCCTTGCCATATTGTGATGATGCCCTGTCAGGCCGGAGCAATCATTCAAAAACATGAAAACCCATTATAAACGAGGCATTCGTTGCATCCAGTGGGGACATAATTATGGATTATAATGACTTGTACTGTCTTTTTACGCGTTGCGTTGCATAAGACCATAACATAAAACCATGTCTGCATTTGTGTTGGATTTGAGACTTTAGTCTTTGCAACTTTACAGATCTTCTTTATGCACCAAGAGCTTGTAACACTCCAAAGAGAAAGGAAAAATTGAAATTGCATCATATGACCCCTTTAATATGTGCACCACAAGATTTTTTTTATATCAGAAAGATCAGGGCTATGCATGGCAGCGGAACATGTATCATCCATTTTAATTGATTCTTCAGCAAAACAGTTTATGTAGAAGCGTTGATAAATACGGCGGATATTTCAAGAGTATTCCCAGAGGACTTAACCGGGCAAGAGGTCGCCGGTGGTGTAAAGCCTCTCTCTAGGGGATGCTGAAAGATTAGATAGTCTTACCGCGAGGCTCAGATGGATGCGTTCAATAAAAGAGGTGGCAGCTTTGTGGATAGCTGGTGGCTTGGAAACTAGATGCTGCCCTTTTGGCATAAAATGTAGGGTGCTTATGCAGGAGACTGGTCAAATCCCAACTGCAACTTCTGTTGATCCTGTTCCTCCTTGCTTTCTTTATCAATCTCTGTCATACTCTCTACTTTTGGTCCCAGTAAAATTCATTTTGGCTTTTAGATTCATGCAAGGTCTTTTGTAGTCGGCCATCTTGTTGAATTAAAAGACACGCAGAGAACAAGTGAAGGAGATACAACTGCTCTTTTGCAACATGCTTTCTTTTCAAGAGCAGGAAAAGCACAGGCAGCTGTCCAAACCAGGATTCGTCGCACTTTAGATAGGAACCCCTTTTCCACTGTCTGGGCATCATGCCAGCTTGACAAGATGGCATGCTTTGGTCCTGTCTTCCCTAATCAGAAGTTTTAGTTGCGCTGCCAGAACCAGTGGAGTATATTGGAAGTCCCATGGGAAGTAAGGTTTCCCCCAAGAGCTTTTGAGGGTGTACATTGACTCTTTACGTGTCAGAAGGCCTGGCTCACCCCCATCACACCCCTCAATGTCTCCTCGATTTTGTTGATCCTGTTAATGAGCCTTAATGGATTCATAAATCATTGCAACTGAAAGGCTCGTTTTGCCATACACCAGGAGTGTCAAACTTAGTTCCTGGAAGGTCACTGTCCTGCAGAGTTTAGCTCCAACCCTAATTAAACTCACCTGAACAAGTTAATCAAGGTCTTCAGGATTACTAGAAGCTTCCAGGCAGGTGTTTTGGAGATGGTTCGAGCTACACTGCCGGAAAGTGTCCCTCAAGAGCGGAGTTTGACACACGTGTCGTACCCCATTGCACGAAATCAGAAATCCAAAATGGACACATTAACCCTTCTCACTCCACTTTTTACCCAGCTTATGCCCCCTTTACGTCCCAGTGAACCTGCACACCAATATCCAGCAAAACCTTTTACCTTACTGTCCCCGTCAGCACTTTTTATAAATTGTCCTTTTGTTTATGTCCATCTGCCACGGTACGAGACTTCATTCCCTGTCATCCTTCACTACGCCGTTGAATTGAGCCGCATTGGGTTGGGCTCCTGGTGCACCGTAGTGTCTAATCAAAGAAGTAATGTGATGGAAGCACCCCTGACGCTGACAGTTCCTATATCGAAAGCAGTCACTCATTCATGGGTTGTAGCCCGACGTCAGCATCTACATGATGGACGCCAACCTTTACTAAGGTTAAGCTCCTGTTCTTTAATGACATTGTGTCAATATTAGTGGTTTGTTGGGGTTTCTGGGAATGTTTGGTCAGTCTCAGATTAAGATACTCACTCAAATTTCTATCAGTGTTTTTGAAGAGGATCAATAGGAAGCTTGAAGGTCAGTCTGGCGCAGAAAGATGAGGAGATTTATTGCAATATTCATATGCATTGGTTTATATTAGAGGTCAAAGTGGTAAGTTGGACAAAGGTCAACTAATATCATATTTGAACTTGGAACATTTAACATAGAGACCCAGTTAATGCAGATTTTTACATGATGGAGTCCCCTGTAAACAATTAATTATTTGGGCTTAAATTTAGTGACATTGCTACATAAGCTGTTTGCTTTTTATTTCATAGTAGTTTCTTCCTTGTGATGCATTCAAACTCTCTCGTCTTCTCTTGTTTTTCGCAGCTCAAGGGCAGCATGCAGAACCTGAGCATCCATATAAGTCATGATGCCAATGAGTAAGTGCCTCTCTCTTACTTTGACTGCTGTATTGACGTTGACCTCTGACCTCTCCCCACATTTCCATGGATTCTGGTTACTTGTATTATTTTTATGGATAGTGATCCCTTTGGCATTTTAAATGATGTTTCTGTTCTCTTAATATTTTCAAGACATTTTGAACAATAATTCAGCCATCAAATCTTGATGAAAATGAGTTGTATTGAATTGTTTTTTAATAAAAATGGGAAGGAGGATTGCGATGCAGTAAAGTTTAATAAAAAAGTAATTAATTCACCTTACTTGACCATTTATTTTTGTATAATTATGCCATTAAAAATCCTGAATTTCCATCAGGGTTTTTGTAGTTTGGATCTTATATTTAGTGTTTCTTTTTATTTTATTTTTAAATTTAGTTTAGTTTTTTGTTTGTACTTTGAACTTCTCTTGGCATTATAAATTTCATTGTTATAAGTGCTATGAGCCAACATAATAATACTGCAGAAAACAAGTATCTTTAAAAGTCTTTGCTATACTTTTCGTTCTTGTTTGGTTCCTTATGTACAGTATCATTGCACCGTACCCCACAGAGCACATTAAACGATTAAATGGGAGTGCTTAAACGGCAAATATGCAAGTAACAGAAACACCTAAAGGAAACGCCTGTGTCACGCAAGTGTTTGACACTATTCTGGGTCCGTCAGTGGCTGGCCAGAATTCATTATCGTATACAGAAACCCCTGGAGGATATGAAAGAAGCAGAAAGTCCCTCAGATGAGAAGAGTGGCATTTCGTGTTGAAATGTCACTGCCGCACATCCTGTATGTCATTTACTGAATGGAGGGCTACCCGGAATGAACAATGAATTCACATTATTGCTGGTTTTATCATCTGTTGATGGGTACTTGCATCGGAGACTAAGTGTGTCTGGGCTAATTTGAGTTAGAATTGTGTTGTTTCTAAATGTAACAGTGTTATAAAGAGATAGTAGGATGTCTGTTTACCCTCATGATGTTTCAAACCTGAAAGACTTACTTTCTTCTGTGGAACACAATAAAGATATTTTGAAGTATGTGCTAGTTGCTCTTTTCCATACAGTTAGAATGAATGGCTACTGAAGCTCTCAAGCTTCTAAAAGGACCGTATCACCACAAGAGGAACAAGTATATGTTGAACTATTCTGCTGTGCTGAAAATCCTTTACCTAATTTGGTATTCCTGGTGAAAAATGACCAGCCTTTTAAAAATTGTATTTAAATCATTTATTATGCTACATACCTTGTTACATTTGTGGTGTTCAATCTTTTTGTGACTTTTAATTTGAGGCCTACAGCCAGTTGGTTCCAAAAAAAAGAAGTACAAAAACTGTGCTAATTAAAAGAAAACAAGTTGACAAAGTTGAATCCAAGATTTGGTGATAATATTGCTTAATGAGAGATTTATAAGCATTTTTTGTAGGCTGGTCATTTTTGACTGGAAACATGGGGGTGATGTTATACCATGTGTGAGCAAAGTCACCAAGTTTTAGTCCAGTGTGATTACATTAGCATTTTCAAGAAAAATAAAAAATCCTTTCTGGTCAAAATGACTGGAACACAACATGAGGACTAAAGCTTTTTTCATTCGTGTTAAACAGAAGATTAAAGGTCATAATGGTTTTAAACAACATGAGGGTGGGTATATGATGACCGCTTTACCATATGTTCCCAAGACAGTCATCTTTTATTAAACAAACATTTCTGTGCTTCCCACTGAAACCCCAAATGTTCAATCCATACGCAAGCATCTGCTGTTTTAATGCCATCACCTCATTTCACAGTTTCAATCCTTGCAGAGCGTTACCCAGGCTTGGCTAATACTACTTGGAGAAGCCTCAGATGGGAGTTATCTTGCTGACCTTCCACCAAAAGCCACAAGGATGTGATTAAAAACCACTTATGACGGGCCTCACTTGTATTTCTCTATCACTGCCTGTGATAGACAAACATACCAGTACGGACTATCACAGGAACCGGAGTGCCGAAAAGGGATCCCCCGTGTCTCTAAGGAGGCCAAGAGCGCTCGCGGCTAGACTGACAGCCGCCACTGTGATTGTACGTCGCTCTCAGGCGTCGAGAAATAGCCTTGGGTGTCCATGCAGACCAAGCTGAAGGGCCGTTCTTCAGATATGTACTTCTGATGCCAATGTACCAGATGTCAGTCACACTTCTAGGTGTTGAAAGAAATCTCAAGCTTATCCAATAGAAGCTCTCTAATTTCCCAGAGGACAGTTTCCATGTGGGTTGTAGCTGAAGAAGCTTGTTCAAGACCAGTCAAAAGTGAAGACCCGACTGGAGTTTCACACAGACCACGGACCGATTCAAAGATCCTTCATGTGCTATAATTAGAGGCTGAATAGACCCTCATTAATGAGTAGACTTGAATAAATGACGAAATTACGAGGGTGGCAGCAGCTCTCTTGTGGCCAGTGACCTAAAGCCCTCGCTCAGTTCCCAGAAATTCTCTCCGGCTCAATGTCGCTCCGTGAAGCCTAAAGATTGTAGACGGATAGTTAGTTCTTGATAGCTTCAGTACTCCGTATATATATTATATACATTACCGTTCAACAGTTTAGTTAGTTATGTTACGTGGAGTAATTTAACCCCACAGGTTAAGGAAACTTTTTTTATTCTGAACTATTTTGGCTGTTATGGAGCAGTAAAATGAAATGTCTTCAGCACACACATTATTCTTTACTCTTTACTGGTCCAGCAGGTGCTCTATGTTCATTGTGTGTCTCTGTCTTGGATGATAATTGAGACTGACCTACCTGTTCAGTGATGTATGGCTCCTGGCGCTACAGGTGTATGTATTGCCCAGCGAGAAGATAGCGACGCTGGCCTTAATTACCCAAGTGTGCTTCGTACCAAGACTGAGCTTGTTCTTCTTGTGCCTTATTTAGAAAACCAGACAGCATGAAGCAGAAAAACGCCTTCCCTCCTAATTTCATCCACTCTCTGGACTCCACTCACATGATGCTGACATCACTGCATTGTTACAGGTGATGAGCTGACTCTTTTGCGGACATCCCACACTCTTTTAACACCGAGTTAATATGTTTTTAGACTCTGGGCCTGAACATTACAGCAGGTTGCTTAACACCAAACCACCTATCATATTCTAAACGGTGGTTACCTCATTAAATATTCATGAGTTCTGTACAGTCTCCGAATTTTTCATGCGCTGTATTTTTTCAAAATGAAAATTGTAGTGCCAGCAAACATAAGAAATTAAGAGACTGCATTGTTTGTTTCTGCTTCTTCAGTCAGTATTATATCTCATACACATGCAAATAATACATGAAGGGTGTGAAACAGAAAACCAAGAGTTCGTTTATCAAGTATTAAGAATAGAGAGCGACCAATATAACCTTATTTTTATGACATATATGATACAGATTATATTTTGTTTTTAAGTGTCTTTGTTTAATATGCAGAACTTATTTTAATGATTTTTATTTCTTTTTGACACCATAATAACTACACGATCGATATTAACATTGATTATTATTAGTAGTAGTAGTAATAAAATAGTAATAAATTATTTGAATACAAATATTTTTATTATAAAGTCATAAATAAATTGTAATGCATATATTTAATAATACATCTTATACCATACATTATATTTGAAATATTCATTAATATTAATAATATCAGTAATAGTGTTAATATTGTATAGTAGTAAATTATTTATAATGCATGCTTTTATTATTAATAATATAATATTAATAACTATTCATTGTTTTTATTATCAGTAGTAATATTTGTATTAATGTTGATAACAATAAATTACTCCAGATATTTAATATTTATAATAATAATAATAAATATTATATTCATATAATAATATCAACATATCAATGTTCATTATTAAAAATAATATGTAATATTTATTCATGTAAAACACAAATAATAATAATTATTAATTGTAATGTAATACTATTTTACAAATAATAATACATTTTATAATATTAATAATTTATATGAACAACAATATTCATTATTTTTGTTATTATTTGTTGGTGGTGTTTTTGTTTGAAGTGTGGTATGTACAAGTACATCTTCCTGTTTTCTTGAAACATGCAGGGCTGGTCTGACGTTTGTGTCCGTCCATGACTGTTATTGGACCCATGCTGTGACGGTGGACACCATGAACAGGGTGTGTAAGGAACAGAGTGTTCACTGCCGAATGTTTGTTCGAGACCAGTCAAAAGTGAAGACCCGACTGGAGTTTCACACAGACCACGGACCGATTCAAAGATCCTTCATGTGCTCTAATTAGAGGCTGAATAGACCCTCATTAATGAGTAGACTTGAATAAATGACGAAATTACGAGGGTGGCAGCAGCTCTCTTGTGGCCAGTGACCTAAAGCCCTCGCTCAGTTCCCAGAAATTCTCTCCGGCTCAATGTCGCTCCGTGAAGCCTAAAGATTGTAGACGGATAGTTAGTTCTTGATAGCTTCAGTACTCCGTATATATATTATATACATTACCGTTCAACAGTTTAGTTAGTTATGTTACGTGGAGTAATTTAACCCCACAGGTTAAGGAAACTTTTTTTATTCTGAACTATTTTGGCTGTTATGGAGCAGTAAAATGAAATGTCTTCAGCACACACATTATTCTTTACTCTTTACTGGTCCAGCAGGTGCTCTATGTTCATTGTGTGTCTCTGTCTTGGATGATAATTGAGACTGACCTACCTGTTCAGTGATGTATGGCTCCTGGCGCTACAGGTGTATGTATTGCCCAGCGAGAAGATAGCGACGCTGGCCTTAATTACCCAAGTGTGCTTCGTACCAAGACTGAGCTTGTTCTTCTTGTGCCTTATTTAGAAAACCAGACAGCATGAAGCAGAAAAACGCCTTCCCTCCTAATTTCATCCACTCTCTGGACTCCACTCACATGATGCTGACATCACTGCATTGTTACAGGTGATGAGCTGACTCTTTTGCGGACATCCCACACTCTTTTAACACCGAGTTAATATGTTTTTAGACTCTGGGCCTGAACATTACAGCAGGTTGCTTAACACCAAACCACCTATCATATTCTAAACGGTGGTTACCTCATTAAATATTCATGAGTTCTGTACAGTCTCCGAATTTTTCATGCGCTGTATTTTTTCAAAATGAAAATTGTAGTGCCAGCAAACATAAGAAATTAAGAGACTGCATTGTTTGTTTCTGCTTCTTCAGTCAGTATTATATCTCATACACATGCAAATAATACATGAAGGGTGTGAAACAGAAAACCAAGAGTTCGTTTATCAAGTATTAAGAATAGAGAGCGACCAATATAACCTTATTTTTATGACATATATGATACAGATTATATTTTGTTTTTAAGTGTCTTTGTTTAATATGCAGAACTTATTTTAATGATTTTTATTTCTTTTTGACACCATAATAACTACACGATCGATATTAACATTGATTATTATTAGTAGTAGTAGTAATAAAATAGTAATAAATTATTTGAATACAAATATTTTTATTATAAAGTCATAAATAAATTGTAATGCATATATTTAATAATACATCTTATACCATACATTATATTTGAAATATTCATTAATATTAATAATATCAGTAATAGTGTTAATATTGTATAGTAGTAAATTATTTATAATGCATGCTTTTATTATTAATAATATAATATTAATAACTATTCATTGTTTTTATTATCAGTAGTAATATTTGTATTAATGTTGATAACAATAAATTACTCCAGATATTTAATATTTATAATAATAATAATAAATATTATATTCATATAATAATATCAACATATCAATGTTCATTATTAAAAATAATATGTAATATTTATTCATGTAAAACACAAATAATAATAATTATTAATTGTAATGTAATACTATTTTACAAATAATAATACATTTTATAATATTAATAATTTATATGAACAACAATATTCATTATTTTTGTTATTATTTGTTGGTGGTGTTTTTGTTTGAAGTGTGGTATGTACAAGTACATCTTCCTGTTTTCTTGAAACATGCAGGGCTGGTCTGACGTTTGTGTCCGTCCATGACTGTTATTGGACCCATGCTGTGACGGTGGACACCATGAACAGGGTGTGTAAGGAACAGAGTGTTCACTGCCGAATGTTTTTCAATGCATATTCTTTCAACAGGAATGACTAAGCGGCCCTACCATGTCAGCTTAACGGCCAGATGTTTGCATGCTGAGTTCACCATATGTTCAATAACCAACCCTGTCAGCATGGGTTATTTCAGTATTGAACGGCCATACCACTCATCCTCTCAACTGAAGAAATTTTTGGAAAGCTGTCATTAACTTATCTTCAAATATAAAAAAAAATAAGTAAAAAGCTTGTTTACTTTAGCTTTTTGTTTTATTGGCCTCAGCTGATTCCTTTCAAAGATCTGTTTTAGAACCAGATTTTCTCTTCCAGTGATAACCGAAAGGAATAATTCACCCAAAAATGAAAGCTATGTCGTCATTTATTCACCATTGTGTTGTTTCACTGGCTTTACTTACTTTACAGTCACCTTCATTAGATAAGTTTAACCTCCATGTGACACTTGCGATGAACTTCTGAAGCTTAATAACTCCATCTATTCCCTTAAACCGTATTCAGCTGTTTGAATTGAGACCCTTTTTGGACTTTTATCTTTTCCCATCCTTCTCTCCTTCTGTGAGTGGTCTATTGTCTGCGAGTCTTTCCCTGACATGCTTTGTGACCACAGATTCCTCTTAAAATGGGAAAGTTCAAACAGGAGAGAGGTGAAACGTCTGAGAGAAAGGGGAAGGCGAGAGGGAGATAGCATTGAAGCTGGCGCATTAGTGTGCATAATGATTGACTGAGTGCTCTGTGTCGCTCCTCAGGTGTGTCGTGAGCAGTTTGTGGCTCTGCACAGTCAGCCCATTCTAGAGGAGCTGTCCGGGTTTCTTCTGAAGAAATATTGCAGCAGGCCTCCGTAAGTCCTTTACACATTGCTGGTTTTTAACTACTCGATGGTAGTAGCTACTAAACGGCTAATTACTGGGGATGCACTGAATTACAGTATTCTCCTGTTTATGGTCAATAACCAATAAAAGGCTGATATTATAACTCTATAATGAAAACTGATACAATCTAAAAACTAAAATAAACAGTTTGTATTTAGAATGAAATATCAGATATCGGCTGATAATCATTTTCCCATTCAGGCCAATAACCGATAAATGGCTGATATTATAAACCTATGGTACTTTCTTTGTAAAAGAATGAATGAATCAATCAATCAATGAATGAATCAAAGAATGAATGAATCAATCAATCAATTAAATGGAAATTATTTACACTGTAAAAAACTAAAATATAGGAATAGGCAGAAACCATTAAATATCCAATATCAGTTGATACTGTTTTTTTTTTATATATATATATATATATATATATATATAAAGTATGTAACTAATAAATGGTAACTGCTGGAGTAATGAAATTGAAATTGATATACCAATAATTACATTATCTTCTTGTTTATGGCCAATAATGGATAAATGGCCGATATTATACATCTACTCTCCTTAAAGAAAATTGATACACTAAAAACAAAAACAAAAAAAATTTATACAAATAGTTTTTATTTTGAATGAAACATCAAATATTGGCAAATAAACAATAATTTTTACATTAAGGCAGATAACTGATCAGTGGCTGGTATTATACATTTATTTAAAAAAAAGAGAAAATTTACATTTAAAAACTAAAATAGTTTGTATTTAGAATTAAATATCAGTCAATAAATAATCATTTTCACAGTAAGGCCAGTAACCGATAAATGTCTGATATTATCAATCTTCTCTGCTTTTGTTTACAAAGGAAGAAAATTATTCACTAAAAACTAAAATAAATAGTTATTGTATGCTACAAGTTCATTTAAAATCACAATTAAATGTCCAATTTTGGCCAATAAATATTCAATATAGGCTACTAGGGATGAACTAATATTAAAATTCTGGTTGTTGTAGCTGATAACTGATTTAATACACTAATAAAAACTAAAAGAAATAGTTTGTGTGCTTAAAACAAATATGGTATTCAAACAAATACCAAAAATCAGCAGCAAATATTTCAAAGCATAATTTTTGAAAGTTTTGTATAGAATTGTCATGTTCATGTCTTGTCATTTATCTGATGCTTTGTCATGATGTGGAGTCCAGTTTTCACTCTCACAGGGTTATATCTAAGCCAAAGAAGTTTGAAGAGTACTATAAGATGGCACAGCTTTTGGCCAGCGTTCCTCAAACAGGTGAGTTAAACCCTGAGCACCGCAGCCGTCGCTTTCAGACACACAGACCAGCGGCTCGGCCTCATCCCATTGACAGCTTGTCAGGTTTCAGGCATCTTTTTACTGTTGCGTAACGACGCACCGTCTCGCAGAACCGCACATGTGATTTTATGTTCATCAGCGAGATAGACTTCATTAAACTGATGACAATTAATTCTGTCAACTGGTTAATCTGTTTACGTAACACGGGCCGGAGGGAAACACACTGGACAACATGGGCACATTTACAGCAGAATCACACACATCTGGCACATCAAAACGCTGATTCAGCAGAGACAATATTGAGGGGGTGCTTTTACAACGTGTTTAAAAGCTCAGCGTCAATAAAGACGAGCAATAAGATGATTCATTCACCATGTAACAGTGTTACGCACTGATTTTATTTCTGTAATATTATTTCTATAGTTTTGGTCCTGATACATAAGCGTGCTACTGGAGTCACGCTCCGTATTCTTCCAGGACTCCTCCTTATTTTCACTAATGAAATTGTCTCCCTGAGGAGTGTGTGTCCGCCCATGTGTGTCCCATAGGCCTGATTTCCTCTGCGCTGTTCTTCAGAACAAGGTGACGTCTTGTGCCTTTGTGCACAAGCAAGCAGACCACCCACAACTGTTTGCACGAGTCAGTCGCCCCTGAACTGCCTGAGTGTTTTATCTATATTAATACCTCCTGTGGGATTCATTTCATGTTTTCAAGTACAAATTAAATTGATTAGTTGAATGGATTGATTAAATAGAGTGGCATTGTGTTGTTTAATATGCTACAATTTTCAGTATTTATTGATTTCAGGTTCTACATTTACTTAATTAATTACAGTTGCTTATGTGCACAACATCACTTCTTCGTGAATCTTGTGAAAACCTGTCAAAAAATGTCTGGGTCATAGTTTTGTTTTATTTTAAGAAAAAAAATCAAGAAACATGATCTACTAGATTCAGCCTAGGCAATTCGTTAACTTAAATCTACTAGTTCTACTAATGCTTATGTGAAATCCAACTCATTGAATTACCTGTTTGTCTTCATGAGCCGTTCCGCTTATTTTCTAATGAACGTTAACTTCGCTTGAGGCTGAGGCAGGGGAGTTGCAATCGGAGCTGAAGCCAGAAGACGACGAAAACATAGTAAATACAGCGAATTGCTTGAGGTAGAAGACGTGTTTTGTTTGTAAATGTTTCATTATATTACTAGTGTTACCTCCTTTGTTCACTATTACACTACTGCATATATTGCAATTTGCATCTGACACTGGTGTCGCTTAGTTTGGTAACGTAAGCCCACACTTGAAAGTTTCAACTTTGCCGCCATAACTGTTTGTCTGCACACCGCACATGCGCATGGATATCACACGTACGTCGAGCAAACGTCGGCCATGGAAAATGACAAGCAGCAGCTTCTAATTCGCCATTAACACCGAAGCATACGGAGATAAAACAGCGCAAGTATTGATAACAGTATCGTTTGTCCTGTAGCTTATCGGTAGTCCGGTATTGACCCAATTACATACCGGTTCTCGGTATCCATCCCTAGTTTCAATGTTACATATTCCATCCTAAAAGACCGTAATCAAGTAATTTCTCTCTTGTAGGTGATTTTGACCTGGAAAAGGTGAAAGAATCAGTGTATTTCTTCAGCTGAAGAGCGTATCGTGCGCTGACGGACAGCTTTCATCAGGAGGCTGAGAGCCCTCCACAGACCTCATCAAAACAAGTGTGCGTGACTGAGACCGGATTGGTCGATCTGGTAGATAAGTGAGTGTACGTGAGAGAATGTTTGTGTGTGTGTGTGTGTGTGTGTGTGTCTGTCTTGTCATATTATCATAAAGTCATCACGTAAGCACTGAAGCAGAGTTCTGGCGGAGGCGAACAGCAGGAGTCGCCCTTGTGTGCGGGTGCGAGAGCGTGGAAGCGTTCATGCGATCTCCTCTCGGTATGGAGCGAGAACGCTCTCTCGGCGGGGCTCTGATCTGCTCCTTCACTCCTGAGTGCTAACGCGGGGCTGATTAACCACATGATTCTGGCTCTCATCGATTTCAAGGCAGCCCCGTCTGAAAGGCCCTCTCTGACATTTCCACTTGGACATGATTTACTCCCAGCATCTCACCGCAGCTGGCGGCTCTCGCATTCACAGCCAGTGAAGAAACGTGAGGATGTTTATGATAATAGATCAGAGCACCTTTAGGAGTATTTTGGGAAAACTTTGGATGACGTGTGACTTTGTGGCCATGTGGCGTCCTTTTTTTAAGGACTCGAGAGCACTTAAATGACTGTTTTATAATCAAAGACGTCTTGATCCGTTGGGTGCTTGTCGGGGAATGTACACATGGCATTCAGTGAGAAATAAAGTCGATATTTTTGCACTCTGGGTCTGCGAAAGGTTAATTGTTATTGAAATTTCAAGACCCAATAAATTGCTTCAGCAGCTTTCTTTCTGTTTTTTGGATTTTTAAAACATTTTATTACAAAGGGCAATACGAAACAAAACCAATCCAATGTAAGGCTACACTTGATTACACAAGAGTTGACGTCAACAGACCTGCTCATTTCCTGACATCTCGAACAACCTCTGCGTGGGAAGTTGCCCTTACAATAATAATAGCTCATGGGCTTAGAGCTATTTGCCGCCACATAATGTTTTAAGTAACTTAGCGCCAATGTTTCCTCAATTTACGGACGAAAGAAATTCAATTTTACCCGAGTTGAGTTTGCAGTGTGATCAGATAAACATGTCTTTCTACAGCACAATAACCAGTTTAATGTGATTCACAAGCCAGTGACTCTTATGAAGTAAATAAAACACTCAGAAGACAAACTCTGGTTAGATCATTTAAACCTAATCCTAAACTGAATAAATAATTAAATCTGTCAGTGTTACAGAATTATCTGATTTGCTGATTCATTGAACCGTCAGTCAATTCTTGCTTTGCTCGAAATGAAGCAAGAAATGTTTCCTGTGCTTAGTTAAGTTTGCAGTGTGATTCAGATAAACACGTCTTTCTACAGCACAACCACCAGTGTAATGTAATTTTACGAACAAGTGACTCTTATAAATTGATTGTTTTAATGAATTGCTAAAAAAGATTCGTACACTGTTTAAATCATTTAAACAGAATCTTTCACTGAACCACAAGTAATATCCACGATTCACGTTTTTCTACAGCACAACCACCAGTATAATGTGATCCATAATTCACTCAAAAGTATTCACGAAAACCTTTTTGAACCATTTAAACTCTTAGCGGAAAAATCCTTAAAGGGGTCATATGAGGCTGCTAAAAAGAACATTATTTTGTGTATTTGGACCCCTTTAAAAAATTTAAAATCCTTAGCTGAATGAATCACTGTCAGAGTAGTAATGAAACATCCTATTCTCTGATTCACTGAACCGCAAATCATTTCTTGCTTTACTTGAAATGAAGCAAGAACTGCTTAACCGAGTTGAGTTTGACTCTTATGAACTGATTCGTTTTAATGAATCACTCAAAAAGAACACTCTGTATGAAGTCCCTGCTAATCAGAGTTGAATTTGCATTGTAATTCAGATAAACATCTTCTACAGCACAACCACCAGTGTGATATGCTTCACAAACAAGTGACTCTTATGAACTGATTCTTTTGGTGAATCACTCAAAACTGTTTGAATCATTTAAACAGAATCCTTAGCTGAATGAATTGCTGAAACCATCAGTACCGAATCACCAAAGTCACTGAACCACAAGTCATTTCTTGTTTTTTCAGCTAAAGATTCTCATCATTATCCAGATTTCATTGCAAAAGAAGCTCTCGAATCAAGTGATTGGATGAAACTCTCCACTTAATGATTCATAAGGTGGTTCAAACTCTAGCAACAGTCTGAGAAGGCACTTTTACAATCATTTATGTTCATCAATTTGCTAAACCATGTTCTACTGCATATAAATTGATGAATGAATGCATTTTTATGAAACGGGTATTTGCATTGATTAGAAGAACCACGTTTTGAAATTACCTTCTAAATGTCATATTTCTGTTGCCACATTTTTATGCTTGCCATCATGTCCAACAGCATCCTACAATAAAATCCAAGTGTTTTGCTTTATTAGGTAGCTGTAATGGGGCTAAAATAGACAATTTCCCATTGTAAGACACACATGGATGGACATGAGATGAGCAGATATCTTTTAGCTCAATGACTGAAGTGGCTATCTCAGCAGTTATGACTAAAATAGAGAAATAAGCCAGCTGGGCTTAGATGCAGTCATTTAGATGAATCCATTATTATTTGCCAGTTGATATGGTTACTTATTCTGCTCCGTATGTCCCAAACATTACTAATGGAACTGAGAGATGACTGCATGTCAGAAATTTTTTTTAAAAATTGTAATGCATTTCGGAATTGTGGGTTTCGTGTTTTTTCTTTACTTTTTTTTTTTCTTGGAATTTAAATCTTTTTCTCTTTTTAAAGAAATATGAGCCCGGTCTCATGAAAATGCATATAAATAGTACGCCAAATAAAAACGAAAACTCGTGGTATTGATACGCAAAAATGGACTTAGGCGTGCATATGATACGCATGTGTTTGGGGTGCATATAATAAGCAGTTTTCGCGTGCATTTGATACGAAATTTGTTGGCGTACATATGATACGCAGTTTTCGCGTACATATGATACGCATCTACCCCACAACTCTAAACATACCCATCGCGTAGCATATACATGCCAAAGTCCATTGTTGCGTATCAATACCACGAGTTTTCGTTTTTATTTGGCGTACTATTTATACGCACTTTCATGAGATCGGGTTGGAAATATTTATTTCAATTGCATGATGTTTTTTGGTTGTTTCTCTGTTTAAAAAAAATTAATAAATAT